ACGTGCTCTTGCGTGCCGAATCCAATCAATTAAAAATGAAAACTGTTGCCAGCGCGAGAAAAGAAATATCATCGGTTTTATTGATACATACATACGTACGTATTAGCGTTTTATATAATATAGATTGCCTATAAACTCGTGCAAAGCATGCAATAATTGAAACACTACAGTGCGTCTAATAATTTGTTCTAATTATTATAATATACTAATATAATACCTGATATAATAAATATTCTATATTTATATAACGTCTAATATAATCGTCGAATTTATATTATATATAGTCTAATTTAACTAATTGATACACGAACGTAAACTAGTGCAAACCGGTTTGATTCGCGTAAAAATAATAAAGCTGCATAGTAATTAAGATTTTACATAGAATTTTGTAATATTTCGGCCAGGGACTGTAGAAATGCATTCTCTCAGATCAATCAAAAGAGATACCGAGAACCGGAGTGGTTGCGCTCTTTGTTTAATAACCTCGACTCGGCAGGGGTTCTCTCCAACTTATTCTCCTTTTATGCCTCCGATGGGAAACACCGAACTGCCTTCAATGGTGAAGTTGAAGCCATTCTCTTAATAACCTTTGAAGACCAATTTTGCAAAATGGTTGTTTTATCTGACTCCCAAGCCGTAATTCAGGCGATCATTTTAAGCTGGACTGGCTGCAACAAATGAAATCACCCAGTGTCGGCAACATCTACAAGAACTGTGTCAAAAACAGAAACGTGTGATTCTCCAGTGGCTGTCTTTGGAAACGAGCAAGCAGATGCTCGGGCTAAAAAGGGCTTCTTCAATGGAGCTCCTCTCCACTTTCTTTCTTTCTTTAAAACAAACTTTAATAGGGCAATTGAGTGAACAAATAAATGAGAGAGTAAAATCTGAGTGCTGGAAAGATCTCTTGAGGGTTCCACGTGTGGCCCAATTCTGTCTACTAACCGGACATGACATCTTCTCAAGTCCTTACTGTAACATCCCTATGGATAGACACCACTGTGCAGTCCTTAGGGGCGACTCCGAGACTGCGCGGCTTTATTGGAAGGCCAGAGAACTTCGCTCAATTTATTGTTACTTCTTTTCATTTATTTTTATTTTTGCCTTGCCATTAGAAATAAAATAAAAAATAGTACAATCAAACTACATTAAACATCAGACATGTATTGAAAATATACCTTTTTAATTTCTTGCATTATTTTTAATTTATTTATATATCATTTCTGCTAGGTAAAAATATGAGATGTTTATATCAAGTCTTGCCGAATTTTATGCGAACGTTTTGTTGTCCGTTAAATCAGCAGCAAATATAGAAGTTTAAAAAGAAGTCGTTGTATTTAAATGAAATGAATAACAAAACCAGTTGCAGAGCTATTCATATATTTTGCATTAATAAGTTTACATATAAAACTTTCAATTTGTTGTTGCGTATAAATTATAATCATTCAAACATTAAAAAAAACATACACAATAAGTAATATTGAAATGCACAATTTTTGAAACATTGAAGCTGTTGAAAAGTTCCAAGAAACATTGCGTAACAAAAGCTTCATTAGGCACTGAAAAAGAAGAATACGTTATTCATAAAAATTTAATAAGTTCTAAGCTTTTAATGTTATTCTCTTAATATATTAAATATACATTGATTTATGAAGACATTTTTTCATCCAAAATTAAATTGCTTATGATATCAAATAGTTTAAGATGCAAAAGTTCCTTTCATGAATTTAAATAAACTCACCTCGCCTATGTACTTAGAAAAAATGCAGCTACTGTGAATGACCAAAATTGGTGGTTGTTAACTTCTCTCGGTGGATATTAACATTGGTCCGAAATATACACTAGGTCTAGTTAAGTGCCCGGTATGTCCTACATCAATGTTTTTTAAGGTCAAATGCCGCATTTAATCGTTACTCCGAACACTGATATTATCCTCAGCAGATATTATTGTTGTAGTAAGTATTGTTGTCGTATTGTTGCTGCTAGGGATATGGGACTAATCATCAATACCGATAAGACCAAATACATGCCTGTACTTGCTAAATTAAATCCTACTGAATCCTATCTGGAGATTGGTTCCCACAGGTTTCAGACTGTTCAGAATATTACTTACCTTGGTTCAATAGTTACTGCCTACAATAACATAGACAATGAGATTCGGAGTCGTCTAATTTGTTCAAATAAAGCTTTTTATGGTTTAAAACATGTTTTCAAATCCTCTCTTTTATCAAAAAATACGAAACTTTTACTCTATAAAACATTAATTAGGCCAATACTTACCTATGGCTCTGAGACCTGGAACCTAACTCAAGCTGGTGAAAATAAAATTGCCATTTTTGAGAGAAAAGTTTTGAGGGCCATCCTTGGTGGGATAAAAATAAATAATTCCTGGAGAAGACGATATAATACTGAACTGTATAAAATCTACAGAGAGCCAGATATAGTGAAATTCATTAAAATAAATCGAATAAACTGGGCAGCTCACATTTTCAGAAGGAATGATGACTCAAATTTAAAGAAAATCCTATTACACAAACCCCTAACGAACAGGAAAAGAGGTAGACCCAGGCTGAGATGGCTGGATTTAGTTGAGACTGATTTCCTTACTCTAAAGGAGAAAAACTGGTGAACAAGTGTCAAAAGTAGAGAGAAGAGGATTCGAATTCAAAGGAAGGCACTGGCCCACCCTGGGCTGTCTAGCCAGATATGATGATGATGAGTAATTTATTTACGTCGCACTAGAGTTACACAATGGAGACGGTCTGGGAAGCATCCCTGAGGATGATTCGAAGACATACCATCGCAATTTTGATACTCTGCAGAGGGGATGGCACCCCCGATTTGGTAGCCCTACACACGATGTCGGACACTTTACGATAGAACAGTTTATCGAGGACCAATACCGCACACCCTCGGCCTCTTCGTAGACTGATCCAAGTGGTCACCCACCCGCACACTGACCACAGCCAGGGATGCTTGTCTTCGGTGTTCTACTGGGAACCGTGTCTCAACTATCAGTCTACTGCGTAGATATTAAAAAAACGAATAAATATGATAATATCAACGAATAAATTGGGATCTATCAAATATTTCGGACATTCACCAAAGCTGATCGGTAGACAATCTCACGGTAACATTCAGAAGGAAATTTATATCATCCATGGACGATGAATGGTCAAATTATGATACGGTTAAAATAAGGGTTGACGACTGGAATCTTTTCTTTGTAAATATTTGTCTTGCAGTTATTCGAAGCCAGGTTATGTAACGTCCAACTTTAACCTCCTAAAAAGGTTACCAAGAAATTTGATCCTTTAGTAGTCGAAACCATCACTCAGTCAATCATCCATTTTATGTGTCGATTTGTGCTGAGGGTTTCTAGGAGGAATGCAATAAATTGTAGTTCTTGAATGTCATATTGTTTATATTCAACACTATAAAATCATACTTGCATCAATTACTAAATAAATTCAAATAAAATCATAATGCAAACAGATCAATGGTTTAGAATATGTGAAAACGGGCAACAAAATGTCACTTGCTGACGTCTTAAGAAACTGATTGGTTGAAGGAGGATGAAAACATGCTCATCCAATTAACTTGGATAACACAATCCAGGCTCAAAGCAAAACAATCAATCGCAATCAGTCCAAGAACTTGGATCGTTTAAACAGATCTTTAAAACCGGTGTGGACTGATCGTGAAGACACGGTCCCAATAGATCACAATTTTGATCCTCTGCAGAGGGGATGGCACCCCCGCTTCGGTAGCCCGACGACCTGCACGCGAAGTCGGGTACTTTACGGTAGAACAGTTTAACGAGGACCCATTCCGCATACCCTCGGTCCCTACGCAGACTGATCCAAGTGGTCACCTACCCGCACACTGACCGCAGCCAGTGATGCTTGACTTCGGTGATCTGCTGGGAGCCTTGTCTTAATGATGAGTCCACTGCGGGATGTTTGAAATAAAATTGCTTTTTAAAAGTAAATTATAAATCTACTTACTAAGATTTGCTACTCAAAATACATTTTTATTCTTCTTCTCCTTCTTCTTCTTCTTCCTCTCTTTCCTCTTCTTCTGCTACTTCATCTGTTTCTTGTTTCTGAAAAGTTAGAAACAGTGCTTGAATTCATTGTTTTTCTAGTAAAAATATTTTGCATATTAAGAATCGGGCAACGTTTGCTTCGTGTGATAGCTGTATTTTTTAGTCCTGGATCCATGTTGGGGGCGCCACCCCTATCTCCACAATATCTGACATTTGAAATGCTCCGTATTTACATCTGAATGCCCCGCAATTTATTTCCAAAAAAATATATTCAAAAAATTACGTTGTTGCCTTAAAGATTTTAAATAGAAATTTACTCCTAAAAGAATATGAAATAATTTTCTGTTCGGGTAATGAAAGAGCAGATAAGGTGGTCTACAAACAACCCTACACAGATATCAAAAATCACAGTATTTTCACTGGCAAAATTGCACAACCTTCTATAGAATCTTATAAACATTAGTCGAAAGCAGGAAGTTACACTCAAATAACCCATAAACATCTTTTATTAAAGGATGTTCTCATTGTAGGGAACCACTTTATATTATTCCTAATAAACTAACTAACTAACTAACTTGTCCTGGACCCGAGTACAGTTCTGTAGGAAAGTTTGAGTATGGAGGATTTTTTTTCTTTTTAATGAAATGTTTAATAGATGTCCTCATAAGCATTGTGTACTCAGGTGGACATCTGTCCCCAAGTACATTTTCCGGAAATGACATTATCAAAGCAACTTATTCCTTGATTTGCTCGCCAAATGCTGGAGGATTTCAAATTACGAAGAAAGATTCTGGAAGCAGGATTGCACAAGAATTACGCTATTGGTGTGGATAAAGGCAAATATTTCTTCCTATTATTATTTTGCTGAAATTAATATGAATGGAAATTTTTTTTCTTCCATTTTTTAAACACGAAATTAATAGTTACGGGTTAAATTTTGATGAGCTCGATTTAGTGCCGATTTCATCGTAAATCAATGCTGCTTTTCAACAATTATTTTTATACATTTCTACATCATTTTATGAAATCCTGATATTTTTAATAGGATATTATTGCGGTGAATGAATTTTGAATCCGCAAGTGAATAATAACATTTTATTAACTCACACGGTCGATTAACGCCAATTTCATCTTGAATTTAGATTATTTTTCGAACCACTACGGACTTCCCATATTTTTAAAACTAAACTATTGCGACAAACGAATCTCCATTAGCGTATATGAGTAACCAACGCAAATTGATTTTCGACCATATTCGTTTGATTTTTCACCGATTTCACCTTAAATCCAATATAATAGAATATTATTATGCGGGTTAATTACGAATTACGCTTTTGAGTAATAACTTTTTGACGAAAGCGTTTGATTTGCTCCGATTTCTTCATAAGCCCACATGTTTTTTTTTTCTTTTTGATAATTTTTTTTGGCAATTATACTTATTTATTTCTAAATAATTTTATGTAGAAATATGAGTAAAACGGAACTATTACTGAATCTGGAATCGCACTAAGGAAAAACCTTTCGATTTTTTTTAGTTCAATTTCGTACTGATTTCATAGTAAATACATGCGGTTTTCGATTGCAGTTCAGTAATCAGTACTTATATCTTTTAACAAAATTTTTTAAATTCTTATTTTTTTAAAACTATATTATTACAAAAAGCGGATTCAGAAATTTGAGGAACACGCGAGAGAGCGAAGTTTTTTTTCGATGAATGTTGAAAATAAGGTTGAAAACGGGGGAGATTTGTCCGAGCTTAATTTGCAAAACTGATTTTTTTATATAAATATTAAAAAAAAATTCATTCAGATCATAATTGAAAAACTAAAAATATAATCTCCACTCAAAATTTGTTGATCGCCAATGGCGACGGGGTGACCATATTTCACGAGTCCACATATACTACTGACTGACGTGCAATTATTTCCATGAGTTGCTTTTCAATATTATAGTGCATCAAAATGAGTGAAAAATGCAGTTTTTACCATGAAAATCCCCTATAATATTTTTACTAAAATGAATAGGAAAGGTCCCAATTTTTGAGGATCAAAATGCATTTCTTTATTCGAAAAAAAGTAATGCTTTCGAACCATTAAGATAGCGTCAAAGTACATAAAAATCCGATTATTAAATAAAATGTTATGAGAGTTTTTTTTAAAAATATTTTATGCATTGTACAGAGGAAAATAAATCTAAACAAAGCTATTATTATTAAAAATTCAGTAAAATGTAGTGAAAATTATCGGCTCTGCTAGTATAAGTAACTTCCCTAATCGCGCAAGAATTTGTGTGAATTTCACCTTATGACCATGTTCTCAAATGTAAATCGAATTTTGCATTAAAAAAAATGGTTGTAAAAACTGTTGTTGGTTGTAATGTGTATAATGGTTGCATTATATGACCTCAAATGTAAATCGAATTATGTATGAAAAAAATGCTTGTGAAAACTTACATTATATGACCACAAATGTAAATCAAATTATGTATAGAAAAAAAAAATGGTTGTGAAAACTTACATTATATGACCTCAATGTAAGTTGAATTGACGCCCGGTGGCTGAGCGGTAGCGCTTCGCGCTGTCGTGCCACAGGTCCCTGGTTCGATCCTCGTGCCGGGCAAGGTTGACTCAGCCTTTCATCCCTTCAGTGGGTCGATAAATGAGTACCAAGCATGCTTGGGAACTAAACACTGGGGGTTCCGCGTTAGGCTGACCACCTGACCGGAACATCAGTTCCTGCACCCCAGAGCCCATGGTTAAGAAAACTGAGATGGGCACAGTAGGCCTTGGCCCTCTACGGGCTGTCGCGACGCTGAGTTTAGTTTAGTAAGTTGAATTATGTATGAAAAAATGGTTGTAAAAACCCGCAGTATATGATCTCAAATGTAAATCGAATTATGTATAGAAAAAAAATGGCTGTAAAAACTTACATTATCAGGATCAGTTAAGTAAGGGTTTTCTCCTAGATCGTCTTCTTCTTCAATAGATTCAGTGATTTCTTGCTTCTCCTTATTTCTTGCAGCATTTGGATCCCATTTTATGAGCTTTGATGGACCCCGATCTTTAAAACTCTTAGTTTTGTTCTCCCATTCTGATTCAAAATGAGCTTCCAAATGTGATATGTATCCCTGTTACAAAAATTTTAATTAAACCAACAATCGATATTATGAAAAACTTTTAGGTACCTCAAGAGAGAAACTCTGTAAAGAAATTTCATGCAAGATCATGACGATCACTCTTTTAATAATTTGAAGATATCCTTTTTGTCATATTTAAGAGAGGGAATATTATTTTTTTTTATGTTATTATTCCGCTGAATTATGTTATGATTCCGCTGACTGAGGGGACTTATGGTCTCTCTCTTTTTATTAATTTTAAATGCCTTTTATCACACATTTATTATTTTCATTTTTAATCATTTTTTTGAATTTTATTTTATATGTCAGATCTTAGAAATATGATTACCTGAATAAAACAAAAGTCTCGTAATTGAATGAAGCCTTTATTCTAGAACTACAGTCGAACCTCTACTTAACGAAGTCGCTAAATCCCGATAATAAGTTCGTTATATGGAAAATTCGTTCAATAGAAAATCACCTTTTGAAATACTTAAACAGCACAAAACAGGTTTTTAATTCATAAATGCTAGACATAATTAAAATGGCAATTGATACACCTTTATCTTTTAAACTAGTATCAACTATTTATTTAATAAATCTTAGCCATAAAAGAAATCTGCATGGAAAACAAGAATTTGCATTTTGTAGCACTATCATACTACATACATTTTCATCTAAACAAAGCTAAATTTATGTATAAAATTATAGCTTCATTTATTATAAAAGTAATTTTAAACATACATTACACATGCGTTCTTAAGCTTAATTGCTATTGATAAAATCCTTTTTGTCTGAGTTTTTCGCTTGAAATGCAAACAAAATGGGATTTTATTGCTTTCTCTAAGAGTTAAGTGGCTGCAAAAATCAATTCAGCTCATTTCCCCCGTAAAATGTGTTAAAGTTTTAAATATTCTGAAATATTTTGGGAAATAGGGAAAATAAATCTCCAAGATAAGTTAGTAAAATAGAAAATTCACTTCACTATTTGGAGGTTATTATTTATTTTTAAAATTTTTGAAGACATAGGCGTAGAGTCGGGGTGAGGGCATGTGCAAGTAATGTTTTGCCAAAATGCACAATTTTCGCTGTTGATTGCATAATTAAAAAAAAAACTTTTAAAAAGGAAAAGAAATTTTAAATTATTGACTTAATAATCGTCTGCTTTAACAAGCTATTAGGGTATTTTTGCTTCATCTATTAACTCGTGGGTGTTGGTAGTTTAAAAAAGTAGGTGAAGTGAAAATCGGTCTATTTTTATAAAAGCATAAAAGAGGTTGACTAATTGAGACTTCTGTAATGCACCCATTTTCTGAAATGTACTCGTCCGTAAGTTTGGTGTTTCAAAACAAGATCGTTTGTTTAATTTAAATTATAACATTCGTAATGAAAAGTGCTTCGAAATATTCGCTCTTTTTTCCATTTGCATTTAAAATTGCATTTCTTTTAAGGCAAGTGAAGTATTTTAAATTTAAGATTACAGAAAAATTATCTATTTAAATCGTATTATTAACATTAAGGTCTAGTACTAAAACATAATTTTATTTTACAAATTTATAGTTAATTTTTTTTAGCTAGTCATTTTTACGAGTATACTAAATAATTTTATCTGGATAACACATTAGTTAGTAGATGTTTTGAATTCAGATGTTAAATCAAAACGAAACAAGGCATTAATAATAATTGCAGAAAGAATGACTCTGTAGATGGTAGAGAAGAAATAAAATCCTGTCCTTTCAATAAAACAAATATTGTCGTAATTTATTTATATTAAACTCTTTAAAAGCTTGTATGAAGGAAACTCATTATCATACAATCATTTAGACTTAAGGGAGAAATGAAAGGGTACTATGAATATTCATAATTCAATCTAAACCGACGCCTATCTAGACAAATGTTTGAATTAAAATAAAGAATGCAATCTCTTAGTGTTCCTCGTAATTCATTTTCGGATTTCTTTTTTTATTGATTAGGCTTATTCGAGATTTTTTTTCGTCGTTTGGTTATTTTCTTAATCTTTTAAAATTTTTATTTATTTATGTTGTGCACACCCTATACATGAAAGCGTAAATTTAAAAGGGCAATACTGTTATATGCCCGGCCAGGCAGGTAATCGAAAAATGGTGATTAATCTCCCCTCAAATTTTGAAAAAATCCTTGGAAGGAGAGAATCAGGAAGGGATATTTAAGACCTAAATATTCTGAATTTAATTATCCATTCATTAAACAAAGTTTTCTCTAGTAATGCTTATTTTTATTTTATAACCGTCGTTGAACAGCCGACCCAGTTTTGGGGGTTACGACTACTAATGTTCAACTCCGTAGCCTTGTCCAGAAGGCAAGGGAACTCCTGGCTCAAGTATTGGGAGAAATTTGCCTTCGTGGAGGACTTTTTGATGAAACCAATCCGCATTTGCGTTACACGGAGAGGAAGAAAACGAGAATCTCCCACGGTTAGCCTGACAGCAAAGGGACTCTAAACCCTGATCCGTCTACCACTGAGGATATTTCACGTCCGCACTGTGGTAGGTGCAAGCCAGATGCAGATTCGCATCTATCAGCCATCGTTGGGATTCGAACCCGGTTTACCTAGTTGGAAGACGAACGCTCTATCCCTTGAACTATCGTGCTCTTATTTTTATTTAAAAAATAAATTTTATATAGTTACCTAATTTAAACCTACACTTTTAGTACCTAGTATTTGGCATATTTTGAATAATTTGATTCCGCATAAATGTCAGTTCTTATAATTGTCTTCATTTTTATATTTATTTTCAAATAAATACATTCATTTTAAAATGCCTTAATTTAGAATATTTTATTTTTGAATTATACCGCCTAATATTACTTACTTTAATTCATTCATTTCTTAATGTCAAGGAAAATTATATACAAATTGCTGTCTTTTTTAAAATCAAGTTTTCTTATATCTTTTGTTATATTTAAAAAATGATAATAATACATCAAAAATAAAGTTTCCTTCTCTTCGAAACTATAAAAGTCCATAATTCCATATGATGTGCTACAACTTTCTTTTCAAATCTATTTTTCACTTCAGATCTGGAGTAGCTCTTATGACTATAAATCCTAGTTAAAATTCTTGATTGTTTTCCATTGATGGACCAACATAATCTTGATGGTAACCATCAATAATTCCATTATGAACCATTATATTTTTGATGGCAACCAACATAAGTGACCATCACCCAATCAGTAGGAATTCGTACAGATTTATGATGGTCCAACATAAGAATAGCAACTTGTTTTGATGGTTTGTTCATATTAAACCATCAGAAATTTCCACCATAGTTTCTTAGAAATCAAATGTTGGAACGATCATGAACAACCATCATCCCATTGTAGGAATTCGGATAGATTTATGTATGACCAACATAAAAAAAATTGTTTTGATGGTATATTCCTAAAAACCAACAAGAATTCCAATTAAACCATCACAGAAATGTATAGTTGGAAATATCGTGGTATAATCACGGATCATCATGGATTGTTGGTCCAGGAGAATCAAACTTCTCTTGATGGTCAGTATTAAAGAAACATTTTTCATCATGGAATGATGGAAGTTTGCTGGCATTTCAAAAACCATGAACGGAAAATGTTGGATGATGGTGACCATAGAATGATTTTGGACCATCATGAATCACACTGAAATCAACATAGACCATCAAAATGGTTAGATGGGAATACCAAGAATTTTGACTTGGGAAGCAAGAAATAACGAAACAGTTAATTGAACCTGAAGTACTCAAAATGTTGACCAATCATTTTATCAAATCTTCAAGAAGAATAATTTTAGTCTAGATTGTTTTCTGTATCAAAGCATTTAATAAGGGCTGAAATGCATGTTTAGTCTTTCATTTAAGCAACATTAGCCTTATAACTCCCTTAAAATCTGACAAATTTTTTCGAATTTAAACTTTATTTCTTTTTTGTATACTTTATTCAAACGGTTCATATTTTTACATGGTTTGGAATTTAATGCATTTTGGTTTCAGTATAAATAATAGTGTTTATATATTGACTGCAATTTTAGTTATTACTTTCGTTTGAGTTAAAAAGCATTTTTAGAAGGCATTTTTAACGAGCTTTGTGGTAATAAATAGTTTTGTTCTAAAGGTTTAATAAATATATATTATTAGATTAAATGTTTTTTATTTGATTTTGTAAATGTGTTTTAAAATGCTGCCATTTCTATCGAGTAGGTATTATAAAAGTAATGATATAATGGGTATATTACTTTAAAAAATGTAGGATTTGATGAATATTTCCATAATTATTATGCTTCCGATTCACTATTTAATTCATAATAAAATTTCAATAAATAGTTTTCAAATTTTATTTTGTTCTTTAAGTTTTTTCAATGAATTTATTATTGTAAAATAAAAATGTTACTGAAATCAAGAGGCAACCTTTTAATATCAACTTTTTAAAAAAAAAAATAGAATAAAGGAGATTTTAAAAATAAATTCTTGTGCCTATATTTGAAATGTTTTTTCCTAACGCTATGGCTACATTTGAAGACTATAATCTATAATATCTTAACGTGTGGGCAAATATTTCTGCGTACTGCCCTACTTGAAAAAGTCAAACCTCGTTACCATAGTCACCGGTCCAGATGAATGTCTGGGGTAGTTCTTATTTTAGACAAATTATACTTTGCTTTAAATGTTCAGATATAAGTATATAGAATGTAAAAATAGTATCATTATTGATAATCTATATTTAAAATTGCTAAAAAATGAAAAAAAAAGTAAGAATGTTTCAATTAAAGATTAAATGCTTTTTTTTTAAAAAAAAAAAATAACGGCTTAAAGAAATTTTTTTTAAGAAAATATCTTTTAAATAACTTTTATTTCGATTATTTTTTTTAAATATTCTTATTTTGAAAATAACTGAAAAGTAATGTTTCCCGTAAAAATCTTTTTAATCTTCAATTTAATAGCTAATTGGAGTATGTGTTTCTTCAAATAAACACATGTGATATGTAATTTTTGATTTTTATTTATCTCTTATTCATCTTTTTTTTTTAATTTTTATTATAGTATGTGTGTGTAATAATGAATAAAAAAGCAAAAAATAAGTAAGTAATGTAATGAAATTTTATTAATGATCTCGTTGCAAATGAGAAGATAATTTCCTACAATCATGTCATAGCAAGTCATAATTTTGTTTCAAAAAAAAGTTTGTTTTGATAAAAATATATACTCAATTATGATAAAATAAAAGAAGGTACTTACTCCTTCAAAAAGAGATTTCTTGTCAGTAAAATTTCGTCTGTCAAGTCGCCTTTCATATTTACTTGCTACGTTTATCATTGGCTGAAAAGGTCATTATTTACAATATAGGTAGGTACTCACTCAAAATAAATTACGTCGGTCGGAGACAAAAAAATATATACATAAATAGTTCATAATCACTAATGTTTTCTTAGTTAAACACACTATTCTAATTGTCTTTACAAGGTGGTATATTTTGTTGTCTAATAATCATGTAAAATATGACAATTTATAAAAATAATCACTTGCTGTAAAATTATTTATATTTTGTTACTCTTATAATAATGTCATAGAAAATTTTGGATAATCTATACATAGTAGTTACATATTAACGTAAGTTTACATAATGACAATAGTAATATAAATCTTTTGAAGTAGTACATATTTATGATTAATTAGATGCATTTAAACGCCGCCATTATGAATAATGAAACTCTAATATAAGATTTTTAATCAAAACTCATAAATCGATAATTTTTAGGCAATGGTCACCTTTTTCCGTGTTCCGACCACTGCGTGACTTCAATTTAATGAAACTATCAATCATCTTCCAGTTTAATTCTAAACTCAATCTGATCATCTTGATATTGATTTATCTATCTGTTTCTTTGTAAGCGCAATTTTATCTAAATGTAAATATTAAAAGAATACCGAAGAGGAAAAGTTCTCTTCATTACTAATTTCAAGAATTGAGACAAACCTAGAGTAAGCCTTTAAATATTGAAAAGAAATTTTAAAATTCTCTTTTAATATTTTGAAGCATGACTTACTCTAGGTATGCCTCTTCCTTTTAGAAAGGATTTTCCTCCATCCTCTTCCCTTCAAGTACCATGTTTTGACGGATCTTCTTTTCGATAGTTGAAAAAAGCTCGCTTTATCGAGTCTAATTGTCAATAAAGCCTATGTTTTTACTATCTTTAATTCTGCCCATGCATCAAATAAAAGTAAAAAAGTATTATCAGAATATTTTACAATAATCGGGGTAACTAGCTTAAATGATGCTTATTAGCTCGTTTTTATTTAGATAGAAGTCTCAAATTTTGAGCATGTGTGCTTTAAAAGATAAATAAAAGAATTAAAAGAAGAAAAACTTTCGATCATATCGAAAAAGATAAATAAAAGAACTAAAAGAAGTTTCATATCGATATTTTGTAATTATTAGCACATTTAATTACGAAATAATTGATTAATTGTCAATCAATTTAATGACAAAATATTATAATTATTGAAATGAAATTGATTGCAATTTAATTAATAATTATCATATTTAACAGTAATACTACATAACAATACTAAATAATTGACAGTAATACTAACTATTATACTAATTCATAGGACAGAACAGCTAGTCACCCAACTTAATTATTTAGTATAGCTTTACAAGTAGCTTTAACAAGTATTTTTATATTATTTTTTTAATTAAATTCTCTTTCTTTAGAAAGAAAGCCTTTCACATAATTAGTAACTCTTCTAATAATAGTAATTCTCAGAATTTTTTCCCTAGGGGAAAAATATTGGGAACAGATTATCCCTTGTAACACACAGTTTTCATAGGGAAATGCCTAACATAAAAAGTGAATCACTTTAAAAGAGTTGCCAGATGGGACTCTTTACTTTGTTATATCACCTTTTATGTTAGGGATCTTTAAGGGATTCTTGATCTCATGGACAATTGTAATAGACCAGTGCAATCTATTAAAGTTCACTTGTTTACCTTTGTCTATCAATTGGTTAATATTGTAATGCAATACGTTAAAAATAAATACAAATAGGAAGTATATAAAAAATAATCTCCTGTATATAAACTCATTACATGCATGTTTAAGTATTAAAGTATTACATATAAACTAGCGCAAAATATGCAATTATTAAAAAATTGCAGTGCGTCTAATAATTTGGTCTAATTGTTATAATATACTAATGTAATACCTGATATAATAAATATTCTATATTTATACAATATATCGTCTAATTTATTCATTCGTTGAATTTATATTAAATATCATTTAATTTAACCAATTGATACACGAACGTAAACAAGTGCAAACCGGTTTCAGTCGCGTCAAAACAACAAGGCTGTACAGTATCACCTGATAATTAAGATTTTACATAGAATCTTATAGTGAGCCTAATAATTTGGCCAGGGACTGCATATATATATATATATATATATATATATATATATANATATACAAAATGTTCCGCAAAGACGAAATTAAACGAAGACGAAACAAAAACGGATATATAAAAATTTAATGCTATTATAATGTATTAGCTAAATCTCAATATATATATATATATATGCATTATACAAAATACTTTGAAAAGATTAAAAATATTTGTTCTTACCGGGTGTTTTCCGCTAAGAGCACTGAAAGAAATAAAAATGAAATTAAGAAAGTTGAAAAAAGAAATTATTAAAATATAAATCTTTCAGTGCTTACTCTGGATCTAATCCCTTTTTTAATGCTTTGCTTCTGTTAATTTGTCTCTGTCTCTCACTCAATTCTTTCAGCTAAATATAAAAAGGAAAATGTGTTCTTACAAATATTAATTCTGCTTATTTAATATTTGTGTAATGTAACCCTGCTGTTATGTATTTTTCAACATTGATTAAAAAATTGAGGATTATCTATGTTACTGTGAATAACCGAAATTGTTGACTTCAGCCGGTGAATGTTGACAATCGCTTTGGTAAATGTCCGAAATATATACTAGATCTAGTTAAGTGACCGGTATACATTCACCCAGTATGCCCTACATCAATGTTTTTTAAGGTTAAATGCCACTGATGTTTCGCAGTAGATATCGAATAAATATATCAAGGAATAAATATCAAATGGGATCTAACAAATATTTGAGACTATGTGACATTCTCTTGATTTCGATCATTTACGGTAACATAGATACTGATTTGGATCTATAACAAATTGACAGATATAAAAAAACGTCTAATCAAATGAGCGTGCTTTAAAGAAATTTTAAATAAATGAGCAAATGAATAAATAAATAAAGAGTCTTGAAATTTGTAATTTTTCTTATAAAAATACGCTCACCATTGTAGAAAAAAAAATTGCTTTATGAAGTTATTAAACGGAATTCTCTCTCTTTACTAAATAATTATTATTTTTGCAATAAATTATTTTGAATATGGTTAGAAAAAATTATGTGTGTATAGTATTACGAGAGTGAATTAAAAACCTTTTTTTGAGCTTGGAAATGACGCTAAAGAATAACAACCAAATATTAATTCTGTATTTCTTTAGTTGAATCTCTATTTTATTCTATGCTGGTGTGCTAAAGTGACAGTGTTAATAAACTATTTGTAAATTTGCTTATAAAATGCAATCACCTGAAGCTGAAAGAGCTCTTATCCTTGTTTTCTCTTTTGTTTTTAAAAGATTTCGTTGCATAATTCCTTTTTTACTCATTCTTATTAAAAAGCATGCGACAGTGTTATTACAAAAACCGATCTCACCTTATCTTACCTAACTTATCCAAACATATATTCAGAGCCTGGTGTTTAAGTCACTCTCTTTAATCAACCAATTTTATATTTGGGTGCGCTTCAAATATTCTCAAGATATGGCGAAATACGTAAAATTAACATTAAAGGGTCAAAACTTTGAACCATTCTCATACTATTAAGACAATATTTCCCTGATTGCGACCTATATTTTGGGAGGCAGAAATCTGTCGAAAAAAAGTATGTTTATTCAAAGAAAGTACGTTTTTGTGCCAGATTTCGCACTTAAAATATCGTCTGCTCTAAATAATTAGCATATTTGAAGTCACCCCTCGAACTATTAAGATTGAGTCCCAGAGCGTGATGATCTGATCACTAAATTATAATTTATTCAGAGTGTTCCGTTTTTTTTTATTTATTTGGCTCACTGTATGTTAAGAGCTTTCTCTCACGGTCAACTCGCATAGGGGCTCTTTATTCTATTTTTACCAATTCAATAAAATTTTAATACATTACATAATTTCATAGGACAAGAAAGTTTTTTTTCTTTCTGGTTAAAATAACATTCCTAGACAAATGTGACAGTGGTCAACATACAAGAAGAATAGGTTTTGCTATCTTTTATTATATAAGATAAATTGTGTTTAGGGCGAAAGAGAAGCACTTAGGCACAGTGGCAATTCTGGATCAAATTACGGCATAAAGTTCTGGCACTTTGGGCGCATCACCTGTAAAATCCATTTTTACAGCTAAATATTATACCATAATTTTTACAGAAATATCAATTGAATTTGAGTGATTCAGTGATTTCACGGTAATTATTTTCGTAAAAATTACGGTATATCAGATTTTTTGGTCAGTAACATGTTTCGATAAAAATAGTGGAACCAGTATGTTTTAATAATCTAAGGAAAGCAATATTATTCCAAAGTTTGATTATAATATGCTATTAGCACACTAATGTCTAGTTATATAGAAGTAACGCTTGTTTCTATGAGAAATTGTTACAGTGTTATGCTGTATCAAAGTTTGTGAACAATGGCGCCATTATTCTATCTTGGAAATCTTGATTGATCCACAGCATGCATTTTTTCACTCATTTTTTTCACTATTAGGACAAACACTTTACTGGGATAATAAGAACAATTGAAAATTTTAAATTCGCAATTTTATATTTAAGCATAGCTCCAAAAAACAGAGTATACGGTAAATATGTTTTATAACCGTCATTGAACAGCTGACCAAATTTGGGGTTTACGGCTTCTAATGTTCAACTCCGTAACCTTGTAATTTTGATCCCAATCTAGAAGACAGGGGAACTCCTGGATCAAGTATTGGGAAAAATTTATCTTCGTGGAGGACTTTTTGATGGAACTAACCCTCATTTGCGTTACATGAAGAGGGAAAAAGCACGAAAACCTTGCATGGTTAGCCAGAAGGCAAATGGTCTCTAACCAATAATCTGTATCGACCAGCCATCTCTGGAATTCGAAGCCGGTACACCTCATTGGGAGGTGAACGCCCTATCATCGTGCATTATTTCTGGATTGTGTACCCTCAAGGAGGGTTGAAGGGATGTTATTAGTTGCGTAAAAGTGCAATGCTAGATAGTCATGAACTCTTTAGTTTAAAGGGACTCAATCTGCAACATTTTTTAAAGAAAAATAATCATGCCGTTAAAAGAATCTGAAAGAAAATCATAATTTGATATAGTAATGAACTTATAGAAATATCTTTAAAGTGGATAATAAAAGGGCAGATGCTGTGAATTACCGTTCAATGCTTACACATTTCTTCAAGCAATTTGCTTAAGTTTTATTTAGAAAGGAAAAAAGTAATTAGTGGAATAAATTGATAAATTTTTTAATAAATGATAACTTTTTTTTTTAGATTACCCCTTCATACATTTCTTCAAGCAATTAGCTTAAATCTTTTAAGCTTAATTTAGAAAGGAAAAAGGCCGTTAGTGGAGTTAAAAGTATGTTAAATATTTTCTTTAAAAAATACTACTTAAAACCTTATTTTATTAAACTCTATAATGAAGTGAGGAGAATTTTCACTTTTTTTTGTAGAATGAGAAAAGTAACATCTGAAAAATTGATTGAAAATGTTGAACAATTAAATTTCAAAACTTTTCTTACATCGTATTCTTGACGTTTTCTTCGTTCTTCTAAATCATATTTTTCACTTTCAAGTCTAACTATAGCTTCCCATAGTTCTTGTGCTTTTGATTTAAGCTCTTGTGGATTCAAGCCTTCAATATTTAGAGGTTTTACTCGAACGCCTAAGGCTATTTTCTTATCCTCTTGTAATTGCTCTTTAGTTTTCGCCATTTCAGCTTTCATGTATAAAGATGTAGGCAGCTGAAAAAATCATTGACATGAAAATTTTAAGGCATTTCTATTTCTTAAAACTGAAATAATATAAAATCATTTTTACATAAAACTACTATGGCATAAAGTGATACTATGTCGTAAAAATATAACTATGGTTATTACAATTTAAAACGATTGACATGAAATTTTTAAGGTATTTCTATTTCTTAAAACTGAAATAACATAAAATCATTTTGGCATAAAACTGCTATGGCATAAAGTGATGCTATTTTTTAAAAAATCCAACAATGGTTATTACAATTTCTAAATAAAATACGACTATCATCTCAAAAGTAAGATCTATTTTTTAAAAAATGTAAAATGATATCGTTTTAAAGGTAAATGTTTGTTAATTTTCTTACACTAAATTTGTCAATGCAATGCATTTTTAGTTCTGTATGCGTTCATTCCAATCTAGAGATTGGAATCTAGATTGATTGGAATCTTTTTATTTGAAATCTAAGGATTGGTAGAGGCCTCTATCCACGCCATATTGAATTTTAGGTAAAATATTTGATTTGCGTTTTCTTGAAAGTTTTTTTTTTGTACCTAATAAATTTTTGATGGTGTAGTATTATTTGAAAGCCTTTTGAAAAATTATGAAAAATAAAGGGATCATTTTATTAAATTAGGAGCACTTGATAGTTTTCAGAACTTCTGTGAATTTTTCCTCAAAAAAGTTATATGATATTTCGCTTTGATTAAGTCATTTAAAACTACACATTTTTCGGTTATTAGATTCCTTAAAGTTGTATTTACTACAATGTAAAATTATGGGTGATCCGTAATTTAAGGTTTTAATAGTTTTGTTACACATTTTGTGTGGAGTCTCTGCTACCAGCTCTTGTCCGTAATTTCACATGTTTTTTTTGTTTGTTTTAAAGAGTAAATTGTTATTGGGTGATGGCCTTGTATTTTACATTTCTCGAAATAGTAAATATTCACAAACAGTTTATTTGTGAGTGGTAAATAAAGAGAAGCATATTTAGAATTTTCTTCAGCCCTCTCCATCTTTCTGCATGTGAGTTCGGTCGACTCAAAAAAGTGGATCACCTTTTTTTAAATTAAGGACATTCTTTGGTCTTGAAGTCTGAGTTTCATGCACAGTCTTCTTTTAGAAAATGAACTAAAAGAGTTTCAAAGAAGGATTTTACGGAGTGATTAGATTAAATGAACGAAAAATTTTGTGAGGATTGGTTTTTAGAAACTAGCATGCCGGGATGTCGCGCATTTTTGCCTTTACTGTAACACAACCATTTTAATATTATCCTAAAAGGAAGAACGTAGTTTTAAGTAAAGCACATAATTTTAATTCAAAAAAATCAAGCTGAGATATTATACTAGATCTTGAAAATATGTTCTGGATTTAGGCAGTTTTTTTAAGGTTCCGACGTTGCGTCAGAGTCGATTACAGCAATCGATTATATAACTGATTATAAGTGCATACATGACTTTCGTTACTTGCAACGTAAGCTTCTGTTCTTCCTGGAGATATTTCTTAGTAGTAGTCGTCGGTAAACTATGAAAGGTAGAGGAATGGTCTTATGAATCGGTAGTAGTATCACTTTTTAATTGGTAGGGCCACACGTCCCTTAAATAGTTTGCTTTAAACAAATAATTTGATATATCTTTGTCTTATTGGTGTAATTTGTCTTATGATACGTGTTTTTTTAAATGCAGGAATAAATTTTTAAATATACTAATAAGCATTGGTTGAGGTTCATCTAATATAATTTAGTTTGAGACGAAGAAAGGGGAGGCAGACTTACTCTTTATAAGAAGAGGTACAAAATCTAATTGTTTTCGAAATGCCTTAAACCATTTATTTTATTTTAACGAGCATTAATTTTAGCAACCATATGTTTGTCTATCTAAATAATTTCAAATATTTATTTGATGTTACTGAATCACAAATGTTTTTGCACATAATTTAAATTTTTCGGCGCTTAATTTTTAAAATATAAAAGTTTTGCTTCATTTAATGAAAATATACTTAAGCAGTAAACAAAATTCTAAAGTTTTATTATTTAATTGATTTTGATTTAAAATATTTTTGTCTTTTTTGAATTTCACCACATAAACATTTAGTTCATCATAAGAGAAAAAATAAAAATTTGTGTGCAATTTTTGTTTATGAGTGGATTCAATATCGAATATTTTAACTTACATAATTATTTGATTTCAGGGGATTACTTGCATATTAATGAATATATTTTTTTACTTATTACTTAAAAAAAATGAAATCAAATTCGACCAGCAAATTAATTTATTACTACAAAATCCGGTAATAAAAACAAAATTTCTGAAGATTTGGTAGTTTTAAAATTAATATAACTCCTTTTTATATGCAAACACTGATTTATTTCTGGGTATTTTGAACAGACACTATTTCAATAAGTTTTGTAACATTTTCATTTTAAAAATTTATACATTTTAATTGAAATTAAAAACATTTTAAATTAAAATTATATTTTTTTCTGAAATTTTTTTTCAATGAAATTTAAGGTTACTAAGAAATTACGATATCCTCGAAATGTTCTTTAAAATTGTTACTTTTTGGTTTTGTTTTGTACTTGTACTTTTCACTTGTTACCTTTTAAAATCAACCATTTTTACTTTTTACTCGTTACTTTTTCTTAAAGTACTCGTGCTTTTACTTTTTACTCGTTATTTCTTTTCAATGAAATTTAAGGTTATTTAGAAATTTTGATATCCTTTAAATGTACTTTAAGACCGTTACTTTTTTTCGTTTTGTACTTTTTCGTTTTACTTGTTACCTTTTAAAATCAAAATTTTTTATTCGTTACTTTTTCTTAAAGTACTTGTACTTTTTGATTTTTGCTCGTTACTTTCTAAAAGTAACGTTCCCATGTAAACCCCTATGTAATCTCTTACATGTAATCGCGATCACAGGTAATTACAAGTAATACATCGAATTATAAGTAAGTCATGTATTTAAAATTCGAATTCTTAGGAACTATTCAACCAATTTCACTCACGTTTTGTATTTTTCCACATAAAATTAAATTCTTTAAAATAATATGAAAAATTGTATGCCTTGCAATTCAAAATATTTTCGACTACTATTGATTAAATAATAAAAATAATGAATAATTATTTTTTCCTGGAATTACCTGTGGATAAACGAAATTTATAATTGTGTGCAATTAAAAATTTATTCAATTGAAGCAAAAATTTCCCAAAATATATCAAAAATACGCAAAAATTAATAATAAGGGTCTAAATTTTGGACCGCTTTCCTGACCACACTGCGGCTATCCCCGATATTTTGAGGGTGAGAATCCGTTGGGTATGTTTATTCAGAGAAAGTACGTTTTTGTGTTTGATTTCGTATATCGACTCACAAATTAATCAGCATATCTGAGGTCATCCCCGTGAACTGTCTATTTTGAGTACGCGAAAATCAATTGTTTTTAAGGATGGTAAGTTTTTTTCTTTTTCCGCATTGTACATACGTACAGTGAGCAAAAAAAAAGATATCACCCTGAATAACTTTCGTTCTAATGATCGGAGTTAATCTTAATGAGGGATGACTTCAAATATGCTTATTAATAAGTTCTAGTTATTAATTACAAAATCAGAAACGTACTTTCTCTGAATAAATACCTATATTCCTTGTTACATATTTGGTTTCCATAAAATTGGGTACGCAAGTAAAAATGTCAAAGAATTTTTTATATGACATTATTCGTGTTTTTTATGCTGTTTTTGACTTTCTTAAACATACCATATATAGAGTTGTGCGGCAAATTATGAAAAAGTCTCGAAAAAAATGTAGACTGCCTGGAAACGACAATGTGTTGCATAATTTCTTTATTCTATTGTTGAAGAAATTAGCGAAGTGCAATTTTAAAAAACATTGAAATTTTATGCTTAAGAACGGTTAAATTTTTAAATAAATTGTTACATTCTGCTAAATATGTGAGTGTCTTTGGATAAAGATAATTTTCAAATAAATGATTCGATTCATTCGGAAACCTACTTTTGTAAATTCGTCATTAAAATGTCGCGCAACATATTCTTCAATTAAGATCAGCTACATTTATCACCAAATATCGCTACTATAATTTCTTTTTTTAATTCCTTTTATTACAAATTTAATTTACCATTCTTACCATCACTAAATACACTTATATGATACGATATTTCCTTTTAAACTGAGTTCATAAGGTCCTTCAGAAACTGTATTGGGGGTAGAAAAACTATTAAGATAAATGCATTTTATTATGTTTATACTCACCTCAACATTCAAGAATTAATTCCAATTATTTTCAAATATCTAGCTACAAAATCTTAAGTTTAGAAATTTTATAGTTAAAAATAACTTAATAATTATAATATAGATACCATGGTTTTCTTAATGCTTTAAGGACCACATGAAACCTGTTAAAAATATACAAATGTTTGCTTATATGAGAATCTAATCAAAATAATGACCCAACAGTAACACAGTACTTGATGATAAAAATTTCATCGGCTTCATTGGCCCATTTTCCAGACTCGCCAGTCGTGAATGAAAAAGACAAAAATGATTTGGAACAGAAAATGTTAAGCTGCCAGCGAAAAATGAAAAATAAAACTGAAAAAACCGTAGTACACAAGAGAGAAGTAAAAAATAAAACTGGAAAAATCAGGGCAAAAAACAACGTTTACTAAATATTTATCATTTTTAATTACTTTATTTAATAGTAATTTTGAATCTTAAGGTATACAATTTTTACATCATTTTAAAGAATGCAATTTTACATAGCAAAATGCAAAATTTGAGTGATATCAGTTAAATAGCTTCTGTGAAATCGAATTTCGAAAAAATGTCGCATGGCACTAAGTCCAAATAATTCTTTATATTCTAATTTCTTCATATCTAAGTCCAAATATTTCTACTTAGTCCAAACTATTTTTAAACCTACTATTTTTTCTCTAAACTATTTTTACTAAGTTCAAATATAATATTATATCTAGTCCAAATATTCTAAGTCTTTATATCCAAATAATTGTTTGCCTTAAGAGTAAAAATGCTTTAAAATTGAATGACTAAAATATTGGAAAGAAAATACCTTATCAAAGGAGGGAGATCCATCTTCATTTCTTTTTGTTATAACAAAGTTTGGAGTAACATTCTCAGGTAATTTATTTTTCTGAAGGGCTGCTTGCATTGCTTGTCTTTTTTTCTCTGCTTCTTCCAAACGTTTCTTCTTGGCTTCTGCTTCTTTTGATTTTTTCTCTTCCTAAGATAATTACACTCGACTTTATGATCAATAAACAATTAAATTGTGTTAACATCATAATTATTCAACTTTTTTACATGAGTGGACCTATTCTTACTAACCACTTCCCAATTATTTTGGATTTTTTTAAATTTTATTAAGGAACTAAAACAAAAAGTTGAAAGGTGTAAGAAAACTTTAATTTAAAATCAATTCCCGGTAGTATTTCCTATAGTAATCTATATAGTAATATAATCCTATAGTTATTTCAGACAAATGAAAAAAGTTAAATATTAGTCTTTCTTAAAACAAGGGACTAAGTGATACTTTTTAAACGTCATTTTATTTACTCTTATTGCTATGTAAATTCAGCGTATATACAATCGCACAAACAGTCCTTGGCAAATTTGCAAATTTGCAATCAACTTGGCAAATTTGCAATCACAACAGGTTTTTTGCTTCTGACCGAGTAAAAACGTAATCAAACAAAATGTACTGACAAATTGTGCTTTCTCGGAGTGATAAATATTTGCAATCTATAGGTTAACTCGGGCTAATGCGGTTAAAGTAATTGAAAATTCTTTTTCAAATAAATCTAAAAAATAATCTTTTCCTTCGTCCTTTTAAACGAGCAAATTTAGCATGATTTGCTTTCATTAAATTTTATTCCTATTAGCGGGTTATCCGATATGCAATTAAGTGGGGATGACTGTATGTAAAGACGTTCAATAGGAAATAGAAAATTGAAAATTATTTTACATGCAATCGAAATTGTTCCAGAATCAGGACGCTCTAACTAAAAATTAATAAATTCTTATTAATCTCTGTCAGATGTTTATTTTAAATTTTATTTTATTCATAAATTATACATTTGTTTGAAATATTATATTTTATTAAATGTATGAATGCAAATTATAATATATGCTATTTTTTTTTAAAAAAAAGACTAATATTAAACTTATTTTTGAAAAATTTTAAGGTTTTTCCTTTGAAGATTATTTTTGATAGTTTTTAGAGTATTTTTTTCTTCTTTTAGACCATAGACATCCTGACCCAGGTAATAACAATGTTGTTAATGGGTGGATACTATGGTTAACAGAAAGCGTCATTTACCTTTTTTTCTAGAAATAATTGTTCTGAAATTGAGTATAAAATTAATTTTGTCTATTTGTCAAGTACTAAGTTATAACTTATCAGAAACTACGATTTTTACCTTGAACACGTCGCCAAATTTAATTCATTTCAAAGATCACTGTTGGCTATAAAAAGACTTTCTTCGGGGCTAAGATAGCCTGGTTGGTAGGGCATTGGGCCGATGTCCGAGAGGTCGTGAGTTCTGTCGGTCGAAGTGTGGTAAATGGTGATAAATGGTGATTGGTGGAAGCAAAAATTTGTCGGGTTACGAAGTCCTCCATGCTCCTATAACAAATCCTACTTCTGAGGGAATTAGAGATTGATCTTTTTCTGATTCAGGTCAAAATTACGATCTGGGGATGAATGAATGCATCTGTCCTATAAACGGGCTGTGACGTATGTGCGTGACAGAATTCTTGGCCTTAGATGGCGCCAGTGGAAAACAAGCACACTTTCTTTGCCTTAATGGCATACGACAACAAGAGCAACAAGTCTTTGCCCTTCGTTAAAAATTCTATTTCTTTGAGGTATAAATTCAAAAATTTCTGCATTTTCCGATTTGTAAGCTGAGCTCTAACAGGAAATTATTTAAAATTCATCTGTGAACTGTATTATTTATTGCGTGTTCAGCAACCTATTTTTTTTTGCCCTAACTTACAATTAAAATAATTCATGTCTTTGCAGACAAAATGTTAAAAAGAAAAAAAGAAAAAAAAAAAAACACTTCCTTCAAGAAACTAGTTAGACATCCAGAACGAAAAATCACTTTTATTTATGTATCGTAAAAAGTACTCTGAGGGCTGGTACCTACCGTAAAATTTTATGGAAAAGAAAGTCTGATATACTGTAATTTTTATAGTAAAATTATTGTAAAATTACTAGTATTGTAAAATTACTGAATTACTGTAATTAAATAAATATTATTGTAAAAAATATGTTATTAAATTTTACGGTAAAATGGATTTTACGAATGTTGCACTAAAGAGGCCAGTACTTTTTAACGTAATTTTATCCAGAAATTTTTACACTGTAGGATTTTACCAGGGGATGCAAACCATTATTTTTGAGAGGAAATGGTTACATGAATTTTTTTATAAAGATTTATTTCATTGTTTTTTGAACAATTAAATTAGTCAAAATTGGGCGATTATCACCATCACTTAAAGTATTCAATAGTTCCATGCTGTAAGACATTGAATCTAATCATTGAATCTCTACACTATGGATACTCCATAGTGATAGTCTTTACAGTATATTCATAGAGATGCCATTTATCCAGTCAGAAAGAATTTGATTTCAATTGACGGTATAGTTCGTTCACCAGGAGCCTTTATCACGTGGTATCCGACTATACTACTTCGCTATTTTTGGTAGAAGGATGTGAACAATCCTGAACAAGGCTGATGTTTGGTGATCGTAAGGCAAAAATATTTATTTCTCAATCTTTATGAGCAATTTTTTAACATTAAATAATTCATTGATATCTCTCTCTCTCTTGTGAGTGAATAGTTTGTTCTTTTTGAGACATATTGCTTGGAAAAGCAGTTTTTAAATTTAAAATATATTTAATTGGCTAGAGTTACAATAGCAGATGATAAAACGAAGTAAGTGACTGAAAAAGAATACAATGTTTGCGTTTGGCGCGCATTAAGGGTTGTCTCAATTTCAAGCAAAGAGACGTTCCTCCTCTTACTCTTCGTCCGAGGAGGTGGAGCCAAGGGCCAACTCTTGGTGAATAAACTATACTTATTAAGTTGTAGACAAAAACAAAATGATAAGAAAAAATGAAATTTTTTTTTATCTTGAATTTTTTTTTATCGATATCACCGCCTGAAGTCGATATATTTTTAGAATTCTTGCCAAAAATGAAGTAAAAACATAACACATAATCGAAAAGCTAAAATAATATTCAAGAGTTGAAACATAGTATGTGAATACTTTCTAAATGTTCATTTGCCTTGATGAATCATTAATTATGAAGGAGACATCATATGAGGAGGCTAATTTATAAGGAGGCAACAAAACCTGTTTGATTGCCGAAGATAAATGCCTTTACGTTTCATTCGGAAATCAGATTTTAGATAACTTTTTAGATTTTTTGTCATTTTTGCCTAAGTAAGTCATAGGAATGAAGAAAATTGCCTTCCATAGTATCCTTTTTTTTGTGAAGATTCAGAAATTATTATTTTTGCAATTATTTTTTTTTTCACTCATTCAAAAAAATTTATACATTTGAATATTTTTGATCGGAAAAATAAACGTTTTTGCATTATTTTAGCGAACGTAATTTTAAAATACAATGTACAAAATATTAAATAGATTGAGTAACTTAAAAATTCCAAAATGCGACTGTTTCGAAAACTATTAAATTTTATGTTATAAATGAGTGCAAAAAGCTCGTGATTAATGTGATTTGTTTGAGAATAAACGAAAAAAAAATGACTTAAATGAATAACAAGTAATGTAATGAGTGAATAAATGTAAAACTAATTGAACCTGGTTTAAGCTTTTGGCTAGATTTTTGTGTGATTGAGATCATATTTATAGATTTTCAGAAACATTTTAAGATCCCAAATTCGTAATTCATTTAAAAAAGGTACTTTGACTTTTTTTATTAATCAAAAATACGTTTTTATTATGTTTTAATAACTTAATTCACGTGTAATCGTTAAACTAGTATAATAGTTTGACTCATCTAGAATAATAGTTAGGCACGTGTCTCATAAACCAGGGTCATAAACTAGCATAATAGTTAGACACGTGTTCGTTATTAATCTCGAAAATCAATATAGTAGATGAGAAGTTATTTAGACTTTTTTTGTACATGATATTTAGCTACATACTTGCCGATACTTTTTTTGTAATTATTATGAATTATTTTTTTAAAACTCACCTAAGCTTTTAAATAACTAAGTTGTGCGGAGGAAAATTTCTCCATTTAAACTACTTATAATAAATGTGAGATATACCATTTCTTTTATTCGTTGAGCTTCTTGCTGCTTCTTTAAAGCTAGCAATTTCTTTTCCTCTTCTTTCCTTCTTTCTTTCCTCTTCACCTTAAAAAGAATTATTTATACATCTTTTTTTAAATAAAAAATTTGCTTCATTGCATTTCAATGTTTATAACACTCACTTGATAACAAAACATATTAAACAACAAATTTTGCAATAACAACTTCTTCAAATTTTGAAAAGAACAAAAGTTCCCATTCTTATCTTCATTTTCAAATTAATTTTTTTAATTGCTTTATTTTTAGTCGCTAATTAATTGCTTTATTTAATTGTTTTATCTTAATTGCTTTATTTTTTTAATATTTTATTGCTAACTTTACCAAAGCACTTCTGTAAAAATTAACGAGCTTTTTAGTGCTTGTTTTTTTTAAAATGTATTTTTTTAAAAATGTATATATATATATTAAAAAAATTAATTAAAAAAAAAACAAGCCCTAAAAAGCTCGCTAATTTTTACTGAAGTGCTTTGGTAAAGTTAGCAATAAAATATAGTTCTATAATGTGCGATAAAATTTGGTAAAATTTTGTAATTTTATTCTGATACTTTAGAGTATAACGTAAAAACCATTTATTTGGTTTAATTTACTTTTCAGTTTTGTATTTTTTTTCTAAATGTATTGAAATAACTGAGTGGCGAGACAACTCATCTCAGTTTACTTCATCTTTTGATCTGGAGCAGATATTCCGGTTGAGTGCTGCCCACAAGCATGCTTGCTACTCAATTTATCGACCGAAAGTCAAGCTTGCCCGGCCCGAAGTAAGCGAAAAGCGCTACCAACTCTGCCACCGGGCCTCAATGTGTGGAAATAATAACTATAATTTTGAAAACCTAAGTTCAAAATGAAGAATAAAACAAAGAAGAATAATAGACATATGAAAAAAAGGGGGAAAAATAAGTAAAAAATAACAAACAACAGTTTAAAAAAAAGAAAAAAAAAGGATGAAATTTTATTTAAAAAACCGGAAAAAAAAGATATAATCTTTTCTTCAGCCCACACGATTATATCCGCAAAACAGAGTGCTATCTGATATTGTATCAATAAAGCCAAAGCGAAATATATTAATACAATAGTGTGAGGAGCACTCAAAATTTTTTTTTATAAGAATAACAACAAATAAAATAGATCACAGAAATTAAAAATAAGTAAAAATAACATGTAAAAACAGAAAATAAAATAAAAGAAAAAGAAAAAACATTAAAAAGGGACTATAAAGCGAGTATCAAAATCAGATCAACTTACATGGACAGAAAATTTTTCAAGAATGATTTAAAAATGTTTTCGCAGAAAGATTGACAAAATATGGAAACAAATGATGAAAACAAAAGCGCATATTGAGTGTAACAAGAGGGTTTTAAAGTGTCGTTCTTACTGCACTGCTGAAGTGATTTGTTGTTCTGAGCTTTGATTTGTTAGTTACCAAGGATGGGCCCGAAATGGATGTGATCAAGGTAATATTATACTGGATAATTTTAAAAATTGATCATAAATAGTTTTAGAAGATAGATG